GTGGCAGGACGAGGGGGGCCCCGCGCTGGCGAGCCGTGAGGGCCCTTCTCCTGCGGGGTCAGCTCTTGGCAGCGAGTGCGTGCTCCGATGCCTCCCGCAGCGCCCGTGGGGACGGAGGTTCTAAACCTCCTGGCAAACGTCCACGTTCGCCGCGGTATCGTCAGGCCGCGTGGTAGAGCTCGGCGATAAAAGCCCCCCGCACGCCGCCTCTTCGCAGCCCCCGACGTGCCCGACACCCGCATCTCTTTCTCAGAAGTCTCACCCACGACAAGCGCGTTTCCCGGTCCGTTTCCAGCTCTCCTGGTACCGTGTTTGGCCTCACAGAGACCCGGGGCCAGGTTCTCACCGAGGCTGTGGTACAGAGAAGTCTACAGCCAGTGGCAGTGAGGGCAAGGGCCGAGCGGGGTGATGAACAGTCCTCCCCCATGCCCAGAACTGAAGGCTTAGGACACCGGGGCAGCCTGTCCCTTCCCAGTCAATCTTCCACTGGGCAGGAGGCCGGGCAAAGCAGATGTCACGGTCTCCTTTAGCAATAACCTCTCTCTCTGGTACGTTAGAAAATATCCTCCAAATAACTCCCACTAATAAATACGAAAGAAAAACAAACCCTGAACTCATTACGATAAATGGCAGGAAAAGTTAGTGCCACATTCCCTTCAAATATATTCAGGATTTAGAAGTACACAAGTATTTTGCACACCATTTTTTTCTCCCAGAATACATCACTTCTCTGTAGGCCTGTAACCCTGTAACTTACCTGTTCTGCATCAACAGAATTCAAAGCCGTTGCAGGTCAACGCAAACGTGGACTTTGCAATAGAAATACCAGCTGCAACCTCTCCTCCAAACAGCAAAACGGGGTTTGCTGAAAAGGCTAGATTTGCTACATGATGCCCATCACAACAAAACAGATACCTCAACAGCTTTACAAACCCTGTATATAATTATCCTGCAAGGGAGCACAGGTTTTGTGTTTGTTTACTGTAGACTGTTTATCTGGAGGAAGCCAGCAGCATTTCCATGGTACCACTTCCAGTGTCTGAAAAGGGGGACCTGGACCTGTGCTCCCTTTCCCCCTTGTGGCCAGATTCCCATGGGAAGGAAACAGAAAACAAGAGCCAAAAGGCAGCTGCGTCTCTGATGTTTGCAATCACAGGAGCAGGTCTGCAGAATGCACAGCAGACTGCTCTTATCCCTCATCTGAACAACCTAAGAATGACATTATCTGCTCCAAGAACCATTTAGAAAGAGCTTCCCTTTTTCTTACATCATATTGAAACTAAATTTTTATACGACTTCAGAAGAGTTGTAACTGTTTAGTCACTGGGGCTGGACGGCACCCAGCCACCTGCTCAGAAAGCAGGTTATAGGCTCAGTGTTGTAGAAGTCACAGAGGAAGAAATTTCCACATTGTACAAATCAGAATAAAATTACTCTTCATGGAGCACCATACAAAAGCAAACAAAATCTGCCATTGCGTGCTTCAGCAGCAGCACTGGGCACTCACCTCAGGCTTTGGAAATTGTGGATCTGCTCCCCGTCCACTGGTGACCTCCAGAAAAATACCTTCTTGTCACATGCCTTGTTTTTCTCATCTTTTGAGTACAGTATGAGCCTCTGTAAAGCATCTTTATAACGCTTGCACTGTAAGGTATTTTAGCAGATGTTGCACTTGTCATTGTGACAGCTGATTCAGGTGAAGCACAGGAGGGCTTTACCCAGGATTTTGCCTCCTGATTTCATTTCACACTGCTGTGAAGATGGCAAGCCCTGCCTCCCCAATGTTCCCATAGGAGCTTCCTCCTCTGCAGCTGTAGCCCTCCGTTACGTTATCTGCCCCACGAAAAAAAGCCCTCTGTCCATCAACACTGTTGTTCTCAGCACCCAGAGCTTACCCAGACAGTACCTGTAGTCACCAGTGTGCAGCAGCAGTGTAGAAGAGATAAGGAAAAGGAATTCTTTATTTGAAAAAACGGTGGAAGTTGCAAAGAGTGGGACAGACACTAGGTGACCTGCTTTAAACCACCTTTTGGTGCACCTGTTTCTCCTCAGTGACTTTACATAGAGCTTTTCATTTTAGGTGAACCGAATCATGCCCAAGGTATGTGTAGGCATCTACAGCAGAGAACACAAATATGCCTGAAATAGATGCTATTGTACTAAAATCATGTGGTCTTCCAGTCTATGCAGAGCTTTCACTGAAATGATTTCTACATGAATCTCTGGATATCATCATGCTCCATTTATAAGAAAATAGCCAGCATATCAGCAGGAATAAATCCGTGTCTCCACTGAAGTCCAAAATAAGTCTCTTGCAACAAGGCATCATGCTTAAGGTTGCAATGTTTTCCCCATTATCAGGGAACAGTCTCATCTTCTTCTGAACTCAGTTACTCACTGCCATCTCCTGCCAGAGACCTTGCTCCCACCAGTCTGCTGGAGGTTATCCAGCTGACTACGCCTGTCGTGGGAAGAAACACTCCAGGCTCCAGCTTCAGTAGAGGAGCACAAGTCTCTTCCACTGACTCTGCTGGATCTGGAAAGGGAAGTTTCCACATGCTGTCAGCACAAACCCTTTAATGCTGTTGCTTCAGCTGGCCTTCGCTGAATGCCGGTGAGCTAGACAGAGAGCAAGCCCCCTGGGAACACCAAATGTCAGCACCACCCATTCCCAGTAAAGGAATGCCTGACACACACACACAGTGCCAAGGGAAAGCTCTGCGATTCTGCCCCGAGACAGCTGTCTATCATAATAAACACCATCTCCTTCCCTTGCTCTGCTCTTCTTTCCAAATTAAATAGGAAGAGAATTATCTCACCCCCCCAAAAAACAGTCCTGAAGTCTTGTTCAAATAGAAACGTGGGTTGCCAGGGCTGGTTCAAACACCAAGTCTGATTGGCAGAACAGAGCTGAAATAAACAGAGAAGTTGTCTATTTTCTAAATAAGTCTAAATTTATTCATTACCCTAGTAAAAAAAAGTTTGGATTACAAGTGTCTGAACAGTATAAAAGTACAAAACAGGTTCCATAGATTTCTAATACATTAATACAAAGTGCATGACTACATACAGTTCATTTTGCATTACTACCGGGAATGGAAGAGGTGGGAGGGAGTAGGGGAAGCAGTTGGCGGTTGAAATCTAGCAATAAATAAATAAATACAGAAGAGATGATCCGTATCAGAGCACATCCTACCACCAATACTGCAGCCTTAGGTGTACTGAATTACTGATGCTGAAAACAAAAGTTTGGATGAAAGTAGGTGTCTGCAAAAACAGCTAGGACTCTTGCTCAAGCCCTTATTAGACATGACCAACCTAGTTAAGCCGTTATACAAGCAAGCATCCATTGTATCTACAGTTGGACTCGATGATCTCAAAAATCTTTTCCAACCTAAATGATTCTGATTCTATTTGGTTGCAGATGAAAGCAAGGTAGGCAGCTTTGTCCTCCCTTTCAGAATCTCAGCGAGTTTAGGAAGAACAAAATAAGACCAATGAAAGCTCTAAGCTGTAAGGCTGTGCTAAGTCAAAGCCCTGTTTCCCCTGATGTTCTTTCTCTCCAGAGGTTGGCTTATGCAGCAGCAGGACAGGTAAAAAAAAAAAAGACAAAAAAAGCTTTGAGGGTAGAGGCTCCTCTTAAAACCTGCATATCTTTCCCTACCTGTATTTTCATTTGCTAAGCATTCCCATTTCAGGAAGTGGGATTACATGGAAATCCAGTCCTAAGCCCTACCCACCACAGTATTATGCCAATGACTCTCACAAAAAGGAAAGCTTGTAGCAATTGATTGTAGAATATCCCAAAAGAGTAATAGCAAGAAAAATCCCCCCTCCCCCCCGAAAACAGAAACAAACAAAAAAAGCAGAATTCCCAACTTATACAAGTTAAACCTTCATAAAAGGAACATGAAACAATTGGGAGCTAAAACTGCAACACACTCTTCCAGGAAGCTGCTTCCACCCTACAGGCAAAGTGGAATTTGAAGGAGCGTCACAATGGTTTGCACACGAGTTTGTCTGGGAATCCATGTAAGAAATACTATCTTTTGATCGTGTATGCAAACAGAGCTGCCTCGATTCAGTACAGCACCATTCTTAACAGAACTTTTCATACTCAGTATTCACAGAAGCATTGATCCGGTGATTGTTTAAACAAACAAAAAACCAAAAACCAAACAGAGAGAAGCACTGCAGGGGAAGGGTTCCAAAACGGCAATCACGAATCCAGACCCTAGGCTGCAGTCGGATTACGTCCCTGGACCAAAGCCTGATTTGCTTAGCGAGGGGTTTGGTTCTATGTCAGGTCCAAAACCAGCAGGAATTCTGCTCTGTGGTCACATTTCAGCTGCACTGGGCAAACAGATAGCAGTTACTCAGTTTTGGCCATCACCTACATCAACTTGAGCATCAAGATGTTTTCTTGGTCCATCTCTAATGACCAGTCAGTTACCACATGAAGCCCAGGGTGTCTGCTGCTGGGTTAAAACAAAGTAGCCTCCCGTTTCACTATGTTCAATTCTTAGGTAAATCTTCCTCCTTAACTAAGGAGGAGAGCTCTCCCACCCCTTCTGAAGGGCACTTTACGTTGGGGGCCACCTTGGATAACTACCACTCGTAGTAGAGATGTCTGCAGTTTACCAGTCTGTGTCACATAGGAGGGATGAAATATTTGTCTTTGTTACGTCAGTAGTATAGGGTGAGATCTCCACACCTTTAAAAAATATATATTTTTATATAATAACTAGAGAGGTGACTTATAACATTTCTATGTATTAGTTCATCTTATTGACTCATACATGTCTTAAGAATGAAATATTTTCTTGGGGATTCAAGGGAGGTTACCAACCAACTTTTTAAAAAAATGCCTTACAACCACTGCTTCTTTCAATACAGAAACATGAACTACATATACTTTAATATACAAAACCCCATCCTCATATTCACTTGTGAAGCAAGTGGTGGTAGGGGCAAAGGGAGAGAAGATTAGACAACCTTGCAGCAGCATACAGCTTTGCCAAGTGTTCCATAGCATCTTAAATATTATGTACAGTCTTTCTGAAAGGATACAAACTGGCTTCAGAGTTTGTGGAATTGTAGCAGTAAAACCCAAAACAGTTCTAGGGAATAGTCTTTTGGCAGCATAGCAGGTGTCCAAAGTGAACAATCACTTTTCTAGTATTTTTCCAGAGAATAAGAGGATCTGTATAACCTTCTGCAGCTATCCAAGGAAGTCACCACTCCTCTTGGGTGGAGATTGCTGGAGATTGTGGTCCTTCTTGTTCTGGCTTTTCAGTGGCAGACTTTTTATTGCTACAGCAAGGTTTGAAGAGATGAGTGTCTATGAGGACTTCCCCAAAACGCCCTTTGTAAATAATTCCACAGCAGACCTTTTGCCTGGAAGAAATGGCAGGGAGAAAGACAGATAGCTTGTGTTTAGAATACAGAGAATTTACAGAAATGCAAAAAATCAGTTTGACCCAAGACAGTACTTCTCTGAGCCTGCAGCTCAGAGGATAGGAGGGAAAAGGCTGCTCAGAAATAGAAAACAAGTCTCTCTAATTCTGGAACACTGCTTTGGGGGGGGGAAAAAAAAAAAAAGAAAAAGAAGAAAACAAAACTAAAGTCTCCCATTTTGCTTCCCAGAGAAGTTTCAGATACACAACTATCTGGGCTGAACTAACCTTGACTACAATACGCTTGCAAACACTATTTGAGGGGAGGCAGCAAAGTCACAACAATTTCAACAGAGCAATTAGCTAAACAAGCGATTACTGTGTCACAACAGGCAATAAAAGATAACAAGCTCATCAGCTCCCAAGACATCTTGTGGTTTTCTTCCCACTCCAGATTTTTTGGTTGGGCGTTATTTGCGGGTTTTTTTTGTTTGTCTGTTGGTTGTTTTTTTGTTTTTTTTTTTTTTTTAAATTACTACCACCACAGGTCAACCAAATCAAATGCTATGTTTTGCTGGCAAGCTGAGAGCACTGTTGTACTTGGTAACACATCACGTCTACAGGGCACAGTTTTAAGACAAGATAATGACAGTCAGGAATATTATCTGTTATTCCCCAAAACGTAAAAATATTTTCCAGCAACTGTATTAGTATTTAGGGAACTGGAGGGAGATAGGGGAAAATGTCTTAAACATCTGGCATTTCTTTCCAAAGACAGACAGATATTGTATAATACTCTGTGACTTAAATTACATCCTTAAAACAAATTAAGTTAATCAGCAGCAAATTCCTAAAGAAGCAGAATCAAGCACTGTGTATGTGAGGTGAATCACTATCTGCACAGAGTGCACATTCTGTTGCTTTTTACCTTTTCCAGTAAGTGAGATCTAAAAAGGAGAAAACTGGTGTTCTGCTGGACCCAGCGCTCATCTCCGTGTCAGAGCCATCGTCAGACTGGTTACTGTAACAGGGCGACTGAGCTGGGGAAGCACTCGAAGTGGTGCTGTGGGCGTCAGAGTCTGTAGGGAAAAGAATAAGTGTAAGAATCAGGACATGCATGAAATGACTTATCCTCTTCCTGACTTGTAAAAAGGTCGCATATGGACTGGAAACAGAGAGACAGACTTTTTTAATTAACAAGAAAAACCTAACGACAACAATCCATTTTTCACTTGCCCCTGCCGATTTCAATAGAGACTATCTGTCAGCATTTGGGAGACAGACCTCAGAACTGGAAGGGATCCTTGTAGATGAGGGACTGGGAAGAGGTTGAGGATCAGGCGTCAGCTCCTGGCTCTCAAACATAGCCTGTGCAGGCCACGCTTTGGACAAGATCCCAGTCCCGCTCTGGAATCACTGGAAGATCCTTGAAGACGACAGGGATCTGTGCTTCAGACCTAGTACTTTTTCTCTCGCTGTAAATCTCCTTTCTTACCCATTCAGTTTAAGTCTTGCAAAGCTCTTCTCATTAGTGCAATGGGTTAGGTAGTATCGAGCTTTTGCTGGATGGAGACTATGAACTATGGACTCGGAGCAGCCGCACACCTTAACAAAGGGTCTACTAGCCTACCTTTTAGTTATCTCTAGCACCTACAGAAACACAATTAGATTAACTAGAGCACGTTGAATGAGGAGAGACAAGCTCTTTGGGTCAGGGTCTTTACTGATTTTTTGGAGAGCTCTTCCTTCAGGCCAGGTAAGATAATTGAAAGGGAAAGAAGACCAAGTCAGCAACAGTTAAGAAGCTGGAAGGTTTGCTTTAGAGGGAAAACCTAAAGTACTGACATATATTTAGAGCATAGCTGGCAGGTGGCTTTGTTGGAAAGCTCTGAATCCACATCTATTTGAAGAGTCTAAGTGCTAGTGGAAAGAAATCACTGAGACCGGCAGAGGAAGGTGTAACGAAACTATACAGAGGCAACATGGTAGGAATTTGAAGCGGGCGGGGGGAATCTAGGCTAAATAGAAAGCCTGGGTGGAAAACACGCATGGAAGAAAGAGACTGATAGCGGTATCAACAGAACAGTGCTTCAGAAAAAAAGAGCTGAAAAAGTGCATAGTGCATTACTGAGAGCAGGGGAAAACCCCTTCCAACTTCAGTTTCAATGAGGGTCTTGCCCAAGAAGCTCTTTCTATAGACATGTCATTTAAGCGTGGGACATAAACCACAAAAATTGCTTACACTTTCAAGCCAGGCTCCCCACTCCCCCTCCTCTGTCTCACAGCCCACCCTGCACACGAGCTCTTCCTCCTCATTCCACCCCCTCCCCAAGCCCTCAGAGGATGAGAGGTTGTGAAAACAGGGAGCACCCAGATGCGTGAGCGTACAATTGAATCTAGATGGTAATTCAGCTTGGCCAGTTAACAGTACGCTGTGTTAGGGGAGGCCAAAGTTTATTGCCAAAATCTCTTTGGATCCACTTACTGTGCCGCTTGAATTCCTTTTGTAGTTTGCTGATTTGATTGCTCTTTATCCTGCTTCCAGACAGAGTTTTCATTTTCTTTGGTTTCAATGTTGTTTTAAGACTGGGTCCAGCCCTGGCATCTACCACCTAGAACACAGAAAATGCATGCATAATACTTCTGCGTCACATCCAGATACTGCCCTAGTCAAGGTACCTGTACTGACTTAGCTGAAGGTGTTCAAAACCAATTTAGTCAAACCAAGGCAGTTCTGTGCACCAACACTCTTATGTTTCATATAAATCTGGTTTGTAAGAGGCTGAGTCTATACGAAAATGCAGCAAACTAGTTTAAAAAGCACATTCAGTTCAACTTTTGCCTTCTTCCTATTTTTGACAAATTCAGTTTAGCAGGCAACAGTTATTTAAGCCAATACAGGTTCAGTTAAGAGTGTCTGCCAAGCATTTGCCCGCAAGTTTTTAAAAAAAAAATCATCAATTTAACTTCTGAATAAGCTAGTGGTAGTAATAACCATAGTTCTGGCTCCCATTACTATCAAGGCTTCCTGAATAAAGATTATAACATACACAAAGAATCCTGATCATCTTCCCAGCCCTAGGCCCAAACTAAACTAGATGTATCAAAACAGAATATGTGAGTCGGAAAAGTTCTGAGATATTAGTCATTGTAATTATCTGACTAAACAACATTGATTTATGTGTTGCTTTAGCAAGTCACCTTGCTTGTTCAAACTATTAAAAGAAAAAAAAGCACGACCAATTTTGGATAGAGTCCAAATTTTAAATGTTTTGAGTGTAATAAGAGCCTTTTGGACAAAGCTATGAGCTTGTGAAAACAGGGAATTACAAGGTAAGTTAGTCTGTGACTCCATCCTGGGCTTGCATAATCACCACTTGCATGTAAGCCAAACGAAGACAGATAAGAGCCATGTACAGGAAATACTCCAGGAAGGATTTAGAGATGCTGAAGGTGGGAAGGGAGAGTGTGGGGGGGAATAGCAAACCCTAAATCCTTGCCAGCACCTCCCCTCTCTAGCAGGATGGACTAAAGGCAGAGACAAGTTAGTTTTGGGGTAGAGGAAAAATAAATGACTAACATGATTCCAGTTTTTTTTGGATCCTGCTGGCAATTTTTTCCATCTTTTCACCAAAAGGACACAGGCATTGCAAATATCTCCTGAGCGGGCCTCATGAAGCCTGGTAAAAACAAAAGCAAAAATCACTTGACAACAGTTAATAAAAACAACCCCCCACTTGATAACAGCAAGAAGCATAAAAATTGATGGAAAAGAAGGGTTCTCAAGTTCTGTTTTTCAGGCATTACAATTCATCTGGGGTGTTCAAACATTGCTGTCTAAAGACCAGGTCTCACTTTCAGAAAGCACTCTTCAATATAGAAATAAAAGGTGTTGTAACCTGCCTCCAGAGGGGCACTAAAAACAAGTCCCATCACCTTCAGGTTTTTTTTTTCCAAAAACAAAACAAAACAACAAACCAACGCAAGTTCCAGTGTGTTAGTTGGTTTGATTGGAGAAGAATGGAGGAGGAATAATCATATTCCTCAAATGTACATTTGGGAACAGACCTCAGAGATCCAACAAAAGCTTATTCAGCTCTTAACTTTCTCACAGAGCTTCAAGGATGAGTAACAAATACCACCTAACACGCTCCCACATAAGCGTAGGATAAGGTTTCAGAAACAGCAGTCACTGGAATGACAGCAATACTCGCTCCCTTTAATGAGCTTTCTTCAGAAATCATCTCTACTGCTAATCCATGCTAAAAGAAATATAAAGGGGATACACAGTAGAATTTTTCAGCTATTTAAATGGGAAGACTTTGAAGCATTTATAGATGAATGGGGCAGGCTCAGATAAGCCATAATTTGCTCAGTGTTAAGACTGTATTTTCACCTTGGCAAACATATTTCAGATAGCACAAGACCAAAGGTCCTGGTATACTGCAAGCTGCTTTACTGCAGTTAACAAAAAAGCAATGGGTCTTCACACAGTCTTTCCACTGCCAACGACAGCAGCCAAGAAATATGATAAGGAAAATTGTCAGCACCAGATTTATGTACAAAAATCCATGGTAAATACAAAGCAATATACAGCTGTATCATGAAAGGAGTGTTTCTAGAAAAGGGAGGGAGAGGGAAATATTTCTAAAGATTGCAAAGATTTACACACATAAAGTTAAGCACTTGAGACAAGAGTAGCAATACTGATACGTATATATAGTTTTTAATACAATGCATGAAAGTTCCACTTGGACTCAAGATTTTGATGAGAGGTAATCCAACAAGAGTGGAAAGAAAAAGCAGAAAATACCTACTGACAATACAAACTTTTTCCAGGAGAAATAATTTCATGGAAAACTACAGCATAAACAGGAGAAATTCTTATTGCCTCAGAAAAAAACTTCTAAATAAAGTAAAAAATAATTACAAGCTATCACAGAAGAATTTGCTTTGCTGACAATTCAGGGACACAAATCTATAGAGAATTTCAGAGTTCTTGGAAAGTATTTCAAAAAAATTAAAAGGTCACAGGAGCTGGTACAAGAAATCACTGGTATTTATAGTTTTGCTTACCAATACTTTCAAGTAACATGCAACATTACCTAATTGAAATTGATGCTCACTTTCCATCAGAATGGGCTTCCAATGAGAAGTTTTAATAACATGTTGATATGCCCTATTTGAACAAAGGCACCAATACCTGAAACAGGGTACTCTGCATAAACGCTGCTGGAACTGCTAAATATTTACTCATCAAGTTTTGTCTAACATTCTTGAATCTTCAGAGCCACAGAAAACCTCCATGGACCCATGCTGTTTACCATCTTGTGTGGGAATTTACACCTCTAAGGAATAAGTGCAAAACAAACAGTCTGAGAGGGGTCTAAAACCCTGCACGTGCTGTGAGGTGGGAGAGGCACGAGCCTGACCCGTCACCGTTACGAACTACAGCAGCTCTCCACTGGCAGCAACAGCAGATCGACGACCAAATGGTATCGGACACAGCAGCAGAGGATCCAGCCCCTCCTGGCCTGGCCAGGAAAGTGGTGAGGAAGCTGAAGCCAGCCTTCCCCCCACCACCCACCTCTGCTAACCTCATCTTTCACTTTTTGAGAGCAAGACAGACAGCACATCAGGTCCGTGGCTTGGAGATCAACACCACGACTGACCACACTATGTTGACTAAGGAAAGAATCTTACCCAAAACAATTCTGGAAATCCTTTTCATAACGTTTGCTGTCAGTGAAACGAGAACTGGAAGACTTAGCTCTGCAAATACAGCAGCCCTCTATACTCCGATACATCTTCGGTTTGTGAAAGCCAAACATCTTTTCCTCCCAGCTGTAGCCTGTGAAAACAAACAGGAACTGGTGTTACTTATCACTGTTAGATACCGTAAGAAAAACCTGGGCAAACCAAAAGTAAATTATAATTCAGGATGGATAACTGCTAGATCAGGCCGTAGCTTTATCCTGCATTGGCTCAGAAGAGCAGATGCACCTAGAATGCACTTTCTTCTTAGAAGAAAAAAAGAAAATTGTAATTAACAACAGCTGGACTATATTAACCAATACCCAGCAGGACTCCTGACAAGCTCATTTACTGCACAGTCCTACTCTAAGGGCACATGTGCAACAGCACAACCCAGAGGTGTGGATGCGGCTGACTTGGCTAACGAAAGCCCTACGTATGTGGCAAAACAGGCTGCAGGACAGGCTGCGTGAACCTGCCCGAGCCCCTGGATAAGTAGTTGGCAGCTGAACCCTGGGTCACTGGAACTACCTCGTCATCATCACTGGTGTTTGTTGGAAGCATCCCTGCCAACCTCCGCTGAAAGTGAGTAGGAGTCACCTTAAACGAGCTGCAGTCATACCTCTAGGCTGTAGGGCAGACATACCTGAAAAGCCGCTCTAAAAACAGCAGGGTGGAGTCCCACCCAGCCCTCAATGGCCATGTCTGCACTGCGGGACCCGGGAGCACTTCTCCATTCTCAGGCCCGGGTGAGCATCCCAGCCGCATCCCAGCTCCGTGTCCGCACAGGCTCGGTTCTCACCCTCCCACCTTCCCCGCCCTGCTTTCCATGGGAAGGAAACCTAGCTAGGAAAGGGCCGGGGAGCAGGACCCTGGGGCGCGTTTCAGCATGCGCCTACCACACATCCCGGCGACGACGCCGGAGCAAAAGGTACTCCATTTACAAGGAAGTCGCTTCTTAACCACCAGCTCTGCAAACTCGGCTCAGAAAGCCAAAAGCCGCGCTGCTCTTAGGGGTCTGCCTACCCTTTTCAGTACACCTGGGCTGGGGGTTTGCTATCAGAGCCGGTAACGTACAGCGGAGCTGTTTTCCTGGCACAAAATTTTAAAGCTAGTTACAAGTGGATTTACTGCAGTCACCACGACAAAGACCCCTTCAACACATCACGTCCCCACCACCAAATCGGTTCTCCCCAGGCACCAGGTACTCCCCAGCGCAGACTCCTGTTAGGCACAGTCTGACATGGCATGAGAAGCTCTCAGAGCAAACAGAGCTCCCACAACGCTCCAAAAAACCAAACCAACAACCCAGCAAAGCTGGTGCTTTCCTGGCGCTGGGCCTGAACACACAGCAAGTCCTCACAGGCCACACAGCATCTGTCTCATAACACAGGCAGGGACCGTTCCAAGACGTTCTCTTCTAAGCAGACCACGGTGCAAGGTTCGCCTCAATCACCTGCTGCAGGGAGCCAGCGGCCACCTCTGCTGCTTATCACACACTAACTGCTCAGAGAGGGACAAGTCACCGGCTGCAGGAAGCTCCCCGAGAATAGGTTGCACTGCTGAGAACTTCTGCTTTTAAAAAATTAAAATTAGATTAAGCCACACGAGTAACACAAGATTTCCCCCTCTTCCCTTAACAAAAAGCCGAGTCATTATATTCTTGCACAAGCTAACAGAAAACTACCCCTCCTCCCCACAAATACTACTGAAAGACCCAGTAGCTCAGGCAGGACTTTTGGGAGAGCAGCATCTCCATCACTTGTGGCCAAGTCTGGTGAGAAGGAACTCCCAGTCACTTTCTCAGTCCCAGGGACTGCCAAGTCCCAGCAACCCAACTTGGGTTACTGGTGAATGTATGTGGCATAGGAATCTGTTCCCAAATCTTCCACCTGCAGGAAGGTAAAGGATGCGATTCTAATATCCTCCAGAGGGACAGAGAAAATTAACCTGAAATCTTCAGTCTACAGCGTCAAGACTTGCCACATCGTTACAGTAATAAAATAATTTGAAAAGCAGGTTCAGGTGAGGTCAAAAGTACGCTTCCACAAAACGACTGTACCTAGCATCGTGCTTACCTTACTGACAGAGAGACTGTGTGCGAGGGAAAAAGATCCTGCACATTTTTGCAGGACCACAGCAAAAGCTAGGGAACCACCCAGGCCTAGTTACAGTCCTCCATCTGGAGGTAAAAACACATCCCCCCACCCCAGAGGGGAAGATCAGAGCACAGCAGCCCTGCAAAATAAACACACAAGGTTCCAAGGCTCCAAGGCTCCCTCAGGAGAAGCAAAAATTTTATCTAGTATTGTTGGTTAATAGACTTCTACAAAATCCATTAAGGAACCCCTACCCAGCTGAAAGCGTACATGTTCCCATATCAGCCTAGCATATTGTAACACAAGACCACTCGGTGCCCTCTGAGGTTGTGTCTTCTTGCAACTACTACTGCACAAACATGTAGAAAGACACAAGTCAACTCTCCAAAAAGCTTGTCTTGACCAAACCCCTTGCAGAGCCTGTTGACGGCAAGGGACTCGAGCAAGCTGAATGCCAAGGAGATCCTCCAGGCTTAGGAGAGAGAGATGGAGGGGGGATAGGTCTTTCCTTCCCCCCTGTCCCAACTCATGCTGTTTGCCACAGGCTTGAAGCACTGTATTCCTTTCTTCTTTGCGCACATTTGCAGCACAAGGAGCTCACCTAGGTCTAGGTTCTCCCAAGGATAACTTGTGCAAATATCCAGCAAAGTCACCCCAAATACTGCCAGGCTTCTTAGGAGATTCACTGCTCCCTCTGTTAGCAGAGCACTGCCCTGGAGGCCAGGAGCAGCTGTAGTAAGTAAAAGAAGATATCCAGCTAGCGACCTGCTGAAAGGGCTTGTTGAGGGATGGTTAGACTCAGAACTACTCTCTGCTTCTGCTTGGATATGTTTTCAGGGACATGTAGCAAATGAATGCGCAGCCAAATCAGGTTAGTATCCCTCGACTGCCAAGACAAATAACAGAGTGTCTAGGCAAACGCTTAGAGTATGTATTTTGTTTCTTAGCATCCGATGTGCTTCTTCAAGAGATGGTCTCTTGAGGACACTGTGTTTAACAAGCCTCTGGAGATCCAACAGCATGTTCACCTGGGAATTTTCAACTACCAAACAGCAATTTTAGATTTTGACCGACTGCCCCAATGTTAAGTCCATGGTCTGGTGCTTTTCTTTAGAAAGTCAAAGACTAACTGCAGACACAAGGTTCATCAGTGCTGCAAAACTTAAGCAGCAAGAACATCTTGACTGTTACAGGGCAAGACACAGAACTGGTATCAACAATGTGATTTACTTTCTAACCTGGTTTCTTCCAGAAATCCAGATGCTGATGAGATGATCTCTGTCACTAGCTGACATTTATACCACAGTAGAACAAGGTGCATGTTCTACAATTAATGTTCTGGCAAAGACTGGCATCAGATACACATACTCTGAAAATATTTTGTTTTGCATCGTTGCTGCCGTTCTCCCAGGAGCAGCCTTTCAACACCATCTTTCAATAGAAGGGAAACTAGTGCCATCTGTTTCCCACTTGATGAATGGTCAGCAACGGTATTACCATATATCATGCCTGAATGGGGAAGAGCTAGCAGCAAAACCACAAGTAAAACAGATTTCTCTGACAACTGCATCGAAGTGCAGTTATAAATGGAAGGCGTCAGTCCAGTTACACATTTAATCCTAAACAGTTGCCATTTGACCATTATACACTAAATATTCTGTCAGCTGGAGAGCTGAATAGCTAACGTGTACTTAGAAGTACATATGACTGTGCCCTTTAAAAGGTTTTAACTTGAAAGCTTTGCAATTTAGATCTCAAATTAGAACCAGGGAGTTGCACTGCCAGCTACCATAACACCTGAATCTAAGCTGTAGAAGTTTAACCATGTGAAATCTGGGACAGATAATAAGATGGCAAGTAGGAATGAAGTAACTTCCATAGAAGTTAAAAAGCATTACACAACATCATTTTGCCAAATTTAATCATGTTATTGTTATTTAAGCGTGTTATTATTTGCCAAATTTAAGCATGTTATTAAAATATATGACATCTTTTAAATCAGCAGTTGCACAGAAGTGAAAGGGACAGCTCACCAGCAAAGAAATCAGAAATCCTAGTGGAGCATACTTGTCATTCTGCAGAAATGGAGATTTACCTACACTAGTAGGGGAGCAGTATTCACCCAAATCAGGGGAAAAGTAGTCCTCCTCCTCCCTGGTCTCCCTGCAAAAGGAGAAGTTGCTATTCCCCCAAGTTCTGCTTTAAACAACTGCTTTAGCAACTTGAATGGACTCAGAAAAGACTGCAGGAAAAAGTTCTCTCCATCCCTCTGCCCTCTCACTTTTGGAAAAACATCAAAAATAGAGATTTGTCTTGCAAAAAAATTCGGAGTCAAGCAGAGAACAGTAAAGTAGGTGGGGTATAAAAAAAACCACACCCTGCTTATTACATTTGTGAAAGGCTGGTACAAAGTAGGATGCATCATACATATGCGAAAATGCTTTTCGAGCTTTCATTACCTGTCAGGACTAGAATTCAGTGCTTAGTTTTCTTCACAAAATTTAATTTGACGATCTAAATTAGAAGCAGGTATTGCTTCAGATGCTCATTAAGTTTTCAAGTTAGGGAAGAACTTCTGAACTCTTTCAGATTTTAAAATAAGAAAAGCTGAGCCACTTTCATTTGCTTTTCAAGATTCCTTCTGCATTCTTTCTGATCACCCAAGAAGAATGAAACCCCTTTATAATAGAAAGGAAGGAATTCCTAGAAGGCAGGCATGTCTCCCTTTGTAACACAATTATCAGGCCAGTCGGAAGGAACATGCTCACCTGCTTCTTGCAAAGCTGAGAAAGAAACATTCCCTGGGGTTATGCGAGAGCAGAGGGATGCCAGTCCAACTACTCAATACCTTCCTCTTTTCCCATCTCCTCACTCTGACTCTGGATCATGCACCCTTTGCGCAAGTCAAAACTGCCAGTACATTGTCACAGGAGGAAAACCCTTGCAAATAATTTGATTTCCCCTTGTGTACAAAACAGCCTTGTTGGCACAGCCTCCC